CTAATATGATCATTTCAAATTCACTTATGTGAATGTACTTGCACTGTCATAAAATTCACGTTTCAATCATTTTATAAGAATGTGTGTTGAGTATTGAATGTATAAAATTAAATTTAAATTGTATATAAACCAAATGACTAAGACCAATATCACAACACGAAAGCTACTAAAAAAAATTAATTTCTAAGTAAAAGATTATGTTATTACGAAACAGTTAGTTTTCACTGTTCATCAAATGTTTTGAACAACTTGAAAAAAATAATTTATATTCTCAATTTGATCATCCGTTCAATTGTTTTCATAATAGAGTACTTATTAATTTAAAGAGTTCTTTGAGATTTGAAGGTTAATTTTGATTATATTAAAATTATTGAATCTTACGCATCATATTAATTGGATTCAAATAAAAAATAAATATGCAAAAAGCACAATAAGTATATATATTCAAAATCATAATTGTATCTTCCTAAATTATGATATATTGAATTCACATACAAAATAAATTTATTATACATAAAATACGATGTATGTGTATGATTCATTGTAATATATATATATATATATATATATATATATATATTTTAAATGATTCATTTTAAAATAAATTCAATGATTCAATAGAATCACATTTCACTAAATTGTTTTAGATGTATTTGTAATTTTATAGAATTATTAATTTATAACATTAATGAGATCATATATTAAAACAAGAGTTTTCTAAAAATATATCATCTTAACCAAGTTGGAACATGAGGAAAATATTATATTAGAAAAATCATTAATTAAGTGAAGTTTTAATGTACCATTTCCTTATTTCTAATATTTGCTTTATCATGTATTAACAATACTTGAATTAGTTTTGTTCGATCTGACTGTTTTTACAAAATAAAAGAATTTTAAGGTAAACATTGGAATTGGATAGTTATTTCTGGAAACATCTAATTGCTAGTCAATTCAAACTAATCCGAAAATGAAATAGAATTACTAAGATTTCTTAAAAAGAAATGGGAAAAAAAGGAAATTGAATCTAAAGAGAAAAGGGGAAAAAAAGGAAATTGATTGAAATTATTCAATAGTTTTCCCAAACGAGAAATGGTAAAAGTATATTTAAATGTTCAACAACAACATGAGATAACCATCAACTTTCGCTACTAAATCATTTGATTGATAACCTACTCTACAGTTTTTAATCTTTAGTTCCTTTTTACCCTATAGTTTTATCAAAAAAATGGAAAGCGCACAATCCAAAAAAGCGATAGCGGGAGCAGTTCAAAGTCAGCCTGTGCAAGTGTCAAGAGCGGCTGGAGACGGATTGAACCCTGGTTTTCCCCGCGGAACAGCAGCAGAAGCGCAGTACGCGGCAGCAAAAACTTCGGTGTGGTGGGACATAGAAAATTGTCAGGTGCCTAGGGGATGTGACGCCCATGCAATCGCTCAGGATATAAACAAGGCATTAATGAATATGAACTATCATGGACCAGTCACCATTTCCGCCTATGGTGGCACTAATGTCATCCCTTGGTCCGTTCAAGGAGCCCTTTCTACTACTGGAATCCGTCTCAATCACGTCCCAGGCGGTATAGTAACAATCAGTCTTTTAAATTGAGTGGTATGTAGAATTTATATAACTTAATTTTGTTTGATGAATTACAGTGACTAAGAGAATATTGGTGGACATGATATTTTGGGCAATGGATAATCCTGCACCTGCCAATTATTTGCTCATTTCAGGAGATGGAGATTTCTCCAATGCCATTCATCAGTTGCGGATGAGGAAATATAATATTCTACTAGCACAACCTGTGTATGCTTCTCCTGCTCTTGCTATTGCTGCCACAAATGTGTGGCAATGGACAAGCCTTGCTGCTGGAGGATCTCCACAAGGATTTGCTTTTCGTAACAACACATATCGTCAAAATTATATACCGACTCCAATTTCTAAACCTATATCAGCAAACCAACCTGATTTTTCCAATGCCCATGCCAATAACAACACCAATGCTAATGCTTCCAGGGCCCAAAGTTTATCTAATCCTGGATGCTATTCTGATGAAAAAACTAAAGCTATTTATGTACCTAAGAACTCGAATCAACTAACTATGACCGGCATGTCAACTTGTAGCTGGTATTGCCCACGCGCACCAGCTGTTGCACCAGTGCAGTTTGTACAAAACCGTTTTTTCACAAAGTCTGATAGTTCAGAGAACCACAACAGTAAATTCATAGAAAATGAGTCTGTTCAGCGTACGCAGTCCCAACCTCCTCTTGTTCCAGTTAACTTTGTGAAATTGAACTCTTGCCAGGACAATGTGCAACCCCCGCTTCAACGACCTGAAGGTTGAGCTGATTTTTTTTACGCCATTTGTACATAATCCAAAAGCTGGCATGTTTAATTTTTATCTGATAGCCCCATAAAATTGTATTACAGTACTCCTAATTTTTATTGAAAAAATAGAGAAATATTGTCACCGAAACAGAAGTTTAATAAGCCAGATAGTTTCTTGAGGTAACTAATGGTGGTAATTTTCTTGCAGGCAGGGGTGATTTATTATTTATTTTATTATAATTATTTTCATATTATTATATTATCATTATATATAATTATTATTATTTATAAAAAAATTCTGATAATAAAGAAATATGGGAATGATAGCAAAATATAATTATTTATGAATGAATATAAATTTGTTTTATTTTATTTTTTTAAGTATAAAAATCTTAAATTAATCAACTTTTATCATGTTAACAACTTTTAAGGATATTTAAGACGTTTTGATTAAAAAAACTCCTTACCAACACTTATTTGTCAAACACATAAACAACTTTGTTTTAACTACTTTTATCCAAACACATAAGTACTTATTTTAAAAATAAGTTCCAACATTTTCAAAAATACTTCTTTAAAAAATCTACTTTTTTTATTGGGCTCTAAGTAAAACATTATATTATTACGAAAAAAATGAGGATTACGAAAAAAAATTTATCGACATTCTTTTGCCTGATTACATATGATTCGACATATGTTTTTTTTTTTTTGTTAATTATTCACTATTCATCAAATGTTTTGAGCAAGTTGATAAAAAAATTCTATTCTCAAATTGATCATCCGTTCAATTGTCTTCATAATTCTGTAAAACTTTACTAAACTAATATAAGTGCGACCACTAAATATTAAATGTAGAGATATTATTTAATCGATAAATTAATATTTATTAATTTAAAATATTAATTTAAAATTATGTTGAGATTCAATGAAGAACAATTTTGATTACAATAAAATCATTATATCTAACTAATTTATTTATCATATTTATTGAATCACATAAAAATTAAATACATTATACATAAAGTGCAATGAGTATATCAAATCATTGCATTTTGTTACATCGTGTATCATATTTATTGAATTTATATAAAAAATAAATTTATTATAAATAAAGTACGATGTAGGTAAATAATTTATTGTGCTATATACTTTTTTGTTAAATGATTCATTGGGAAATAAAGTCAAGCTAAGAATTCAATGGTTCAATATAAAAATATATTCATTAGGTATAATGTTTATTATTTCTTAATAAGAAAATATTATTCATATTATCTGTATTAAAGATATTGAATGTTTGATGATGAGAGAATAGATTTTATATATATATATATTATTATTTTGTCCCTCTAATAAATTAAAAATTATATAATTTATATATATATAATCTTCTTATTCTCATTTCATAATCTTGACCTTTCAAATTTCTAACATAAATGTAAATAAAAATAAAAATGAGTAATTATCAAGAAATTAAAGTAGATTCATGTATCTTTAAAATTAAATTTCATCTCTATTTTTTTTATATTTATTTTAACAATAATTCAAGTCCTAGAATAAATTAAAACTTATATAATTTATATATATATATAATCTTCTTATTCTCATTTCATAATCTTGACCTTTCAAATTTCTAACATAAATGTAAATAAAAATAAAAATGAGTAATTATCAAGAAATTAAAGTAGATTCATGTATCTTTAAAATTAAATTTCATCCCTATCTTTTTTATATTTATTTTAACAATAATTCATGTGACTTTTCATGTTTCCATAATTTTGTTCTATAAAATTTAACTTTTTCAAGAAGAACTTTTATTTCTCACTCCTACAATTCTTGTACGTAGGAACTCTAAACATGTGAAATAATGTCACAATTTGAGGTGAAAGTTGTGATATTCCCTTATGCAGTTACGAGAATAGATAAGAATTCAATTACTAAAGCATCAGAGCTTGATGTGTTAGTTTTATACTTATTTGTAGTAAGAATTATAATAAGATTTTTTTGTCTCTCTTCATATAGTTGAATTCTTGTTTTATTAGCAAGTTGCTCTAAATTCATATTTGTATTTTGTATGCTCAAATGTTCAGTTTCACTATAGAGACAAACAAAATAAAATGCCTAATTATCTTGCTCATGTGTACCTTTTTTTTTTCTTTTCTCCGTACTTATAATTTTTACATATATATTAACTTTCATCTTTAAGAATAAATGTGATAAATAGGATGTTTACTCTTTTCTTTTCTTTTATGGAAAAAAAAGGTGAAACATATAATATTAGATTAATGGTGGATAAGCTATGTATGACAAATTAAATTTTATATAAAAATAGTAGTTATTCATAAATATCATGATTTTTAAAATATAAATGATAAAACTTTTTACATCTTAGTTTTAAATATTTATAGTTAACTAATTAGTTTAAAGTGTTTGTGGATAAAAATTTAATACAATAATTAAAACACATTCATTAAAACACATTCATTAAAAAAGTTGAAAGGTTTTGTTTTCCTTCACTCAAAGTTAATCTTGCACTATCTAGCATTATTCTACCAATAAAACGAAACTATCAAGAAATTTAATTTAGATAGTTGTTATTTTTCCTTTTAGCTTTGCAAACTTATTTTTTGAATTACAAACAAAGTTTATTTTATTAATTTCTCATATTATTATCTCGATGCATTCACTTGGAGGTCAGAAAATTGGAGTGTCACAATTAGTAGTAAAACAAAGTAAGAAATCTCAATTAGACATAAATTTCATATATGGCAAACTTATTAGATTAAATAACATTATATGGGTATAGTTTACCTAATTACATAATATGGGTATAGTTAAGTTATTAAAGGTGTCTTTAATTTTGTATATAAATTTTTATTATTATTATTTATACAATTCTATTTTAAAAAATTTTTTGTAACTGAAGCATTAAATATGGTAACAATAAATCAAGATAATGCCACAATTTTAGGAAAACGTCCCTATTTTCAAGCCATACATTCAAATTCAAAAAAAAATTCTGTTTATAATAAGTCATGTACAAATTAATTTCTGTATATACATACCTACCTATATATACAAAAAAAATAAAAAAAAAGTCATTCACAGATTATTTTCTGTTTATATATATGAACTTACCTTTTTTGTATATAGTATATACCAGCACGTATTCAATGTCTTTTATTGTATATGCACATCCAATTAGATTGCAATAAATATACATATACAATCTTATTGAATAAATATATACATGTACAAAAATGCATTTTACGAATTTGTATAACAAGAGATATATGTTATTCAGGTTTTTAATTATATATAGTATATACTAACACTTATTCAATGTTTTTATTAATTGTATATGCATATTCAATACATTATATTCGATAATTTATATATAACTACTACAATATACAAAATTATAATTACATATGATATTTTCCCATCTATATACAATCCCTACTATCAACTATTAAAACAGAAATGTACATATCAATTTTTGTATATCTTTGTAAACTTAATATATACTAACTTCAAAAATTTGTATATAACTAATAGAATATACAAATTCTAATCATATATTCAAATTTTCCATCTGTATAACTAAGTCCAATTACTATTTTGTATGTATATACAAAAATCAAAAATAACATAAATATGCAATATACTATATACAATTACTCACATGGAATATACTATATACAAAATTTAATTTAATGGTTTTTGTATATTGACAACTAATTAACAAAAAAATTGTATCTAAGTTTGTGTTTTAAGACACTACCTCATGACTATGAAGTTCTTCAGATCCAACTTCACAATCATTTTCCTCTGATTCAAATAGTACAACTTTCCTCTTTCTTGTACCTTGTCAATTTTAATGCCCCTAGCTTTGACATTTTTAATAACTTGTTGAACTGCCATAGGGTCGTTTTTTTTCTTTGATCTCAGCTCTTCCATGGTTTGTTCTTGTATAAGTTGTTTTGATTTTCCCAAAGACCCTACATTAACCCCAAATTCTTGAGTTAGCCCCGTTGAAAAGGATGGTAAAATGTCAACAACATTGACATGCAAAGGACTACCTCTGGTAATCCTCAAAGATGTAGACGATTCGTTCATTGTTTGATGAATTTTAGATCTATCAAGAACAAAAAAACGATTATTTCATCAAAATATATGGAAAAAAAACAGAACACATATACAATTTTTAGATAAGTTAGAAGTAAAGGTAAACAACTAAAATTAAGGATAACTTACGAAATTGACTTCAACTTAGGGAGGAGACTTCAACTTCAGGAGGGATTACTGAAATTTTGGACAAAAATTCGAAATTCAAATCTGATATTGGAGTATTAAATGTAGGAGAAGACGTTAGAATGAGGAAAGGAGAGAGAAAATTAATTGTGAATAGGAGAGAGAAAATTAGATTGTGTATAATTATATACAAAATTAGAAAATAAGGTTTTTATACAATTGGTTACATAATAGGTTGTGGGCCCCATTAATTATAGCAAAATAAAATAAACTATAATTATATAATGCAAATAAATAAACTATACCCCTAATATATAATTAGTTATGAATGTTTGTCATTTCATATAATTTTCCCTTTTATTATTTAGTAGTATTATCTTTTAAAAAATAATACACTCTTGGATTACACGCGCAAAGCGCGTGTCCAGAAACTAGTATATATATATATAAAAGTAACATATATAGGAAATTTTTAAAATCATATCTAAAAAAGACTTCTCATTTTAAAGTTATTAAAAAATGATTAATAATATCATATCAAATAAGTAAAAAATATTATGTAAGTACAAAAAAAATCATTTCATATGCATTCATAAAGATTTGGAGTTGTGGCAACACCGAAATTTTTTGATGCAATTAAAAAAAGTTAGAAATAGGCTTCCAACTAATTTAATGAGATTTCATTGTACCATTATTTCTATATTTGCCTTATCAAGGGTTAGCAATATTTGAATTTGTTATGTTGCATGTGACTTTGATCATTATATAGTTAAACTATTTTGACAAAATATACTCATTTTAAGCTAAATATTTGATAGTTATTTGTGAAAACGTATCTAATTGCTAGTCAATTCAAATTAATCCGAAAATGAAATAGTAATACTAAGATTTCTTAAAAAGAAATGGGAAAAAAAGGAAATTGAATTAGTATATTTTCGAAAGAGAAATGGGAAAAAAAGGAAAATTGATTGAAATAATTTAATAGATTTCCCAAAAGAGAAATGGTGAAAGTATATTTAAATGTTCAACAACAACATGAGATAACCATCAACTTTCGTTACTAAATCATTTGATTGATAACCTACTCTACAGTTTTTAATCTTTAGTTCCTTTTTACCCTATAGTTTTATCAAAAAAATGGAAAGCGCACAATCCAAAAAAGCGATAGCGGGAGCAGTTCAAAGTCAGCCTGTGCAAGTGTCAAGAGCGGCTGGAGACGGATTGAACCCTGGTTTTCCCCGCGGAACAGCAGCAGAAGCGCAGTACGCGGCAGCAAAAACTTCGGTGTGGTGGGACATAGAAAATTGTCAGGTGCCTAGGGGATGTGACGCCCATGCAATCGCTCAGAATATAAACAAGGCATTAATGAATATGAACTATCACGGACCAGTCACCATTTCCGCCTATGGTGACACTAATGGCATCCCTTGGTCCGTTCAACGAGCCCTCTCTACTACTGGAATCCGTCTCAATCACGTCCCAGCCGGTATAGTAACAATTAGTCTTTTAAATTGAGTGGTATGTAGGATTTATATAACTTAATTTTGTTTGATGAATTACAGTGACTAAGGATGCTAGTGATAAGAGAATATTGGTGGATATGATATTTTGGGCAATGGATAATCATGCACCTGCAAATTATTTGCTCATTTCAGGAGATGGAGATTTTTCCAATGCAATTCATCAGTTACGGATGAGGAAATATAATATTCTTTTAGCACAACCTGTTTGTGCTTCTCCCGCTCTTGCTATTGCTGCCACAAATGTGTGGCAATGGACAAGCCTTGCTGCTGGAGGATCTCCACAAGGATTTGCGTTTCGTAACAACACATATCGTCAAAATTATATACCGACTCTAATTTCTAAACCTATATCAGCAAACCAACCTGATTTTTCCAATTCCCATGCCAATAACAACACCAATGCTAATGCTTCCAGGGCCCAAAGTTTATCTAATCCTGGATGCTATTCTTATGTACCTAAGAACTCAAATCAACTAACTATGACCGGCATGTCAACTTGTAGCTGGTATTGCCCACGCGCACCAGCTGTTGCACCAGTGCAGTTTGTACAAAACCGTTTTTTCACAAAGTCTGATAGTTCAGAGAACCACAACAGTAAATTCATAGAAAATGAGTCTGTTCAGCGTACTCAGTCCCAACCTCCTATTGTTCCAGTTAACCTTGTCAAATTGAACTCTTGCCAGGACAATGTGCAACCCCCACTTCAACGACCTGAAGGTTCTGTTATTTTTTTTACGCCATTTGTACATAATCCAAAAGCTAACATGTGTAATTTATCTGATAGCCCCATAAATTTGTATTACAGTACTCCTAATTTTTATTGAGAAAATAGAGAAATATTGTCACCGAAACAGAAGTTTAATAAGCCAGATAGTTTCTTGAGGTAACTAAAGGAGGTAATTTTCTTGCAGGCAGGGGTGATTTATGTGTTTCTATGAACAAGGGTGATGTACGTCCTGACTTTTCCTTCCTTCCACCCTCATCGGGTGTTTCTAAATCTGTCTCTGGTAATTTAGATTTGGATCTCCAGCTGCCTGAACACATTCAAAGTCTTATACAGGTCATAGTTAATTCGTTGAACACTTTAAGGCTCGAGAAGATTTTGCCTACCAAAGAAAACATTGGTTACTGTATACATTATAGTAAACCTGAATATCGTCATACTGATGTTACAGTAGCCTTAAATACTGCACTAGAGCAACAAGTGATATTAAAGTTAGGACTAGTTAACTTTGATCTATATGTTGGTAAGACTGCAAGGATTTGGAAATGTGTGAATCCACTTGGTGGCAATCCTAACCAGTATAAGGATGCAATTTGGAATGCGATTGAGGAATTTCTTTGTTCAACTGTTGGACGTTTAGCGATAGCAGCATCTGAATGCAGGTAAACAATTCATGCTAGCTGCATGGTTTTTGATGATTCTCAGAGTTTTTTTCTCATCTTCATCTCTCTGTCTTCCAGGTATGAAGCCGCTTTGATTCTTAGAAATGCATGTCTCAAAAATCTTACATTGGGTGAAGTACTACAAATCCTAAATATGATTATTACTCTAAAGGGTTGGATCAAAACTCACTCTGAGTGGCAACCAATTACTATCACTCTTCCAGCAACTAATAATGATATGGATACCAAATCAGGGTCATGACATCTGTTTCTAGAAATGGATCAGATATCTTGGAGTTACGGATTTTAAAAGAAGTTCAATTTTATATATGACTGTATGCTCAGTGCCAACTTGATGACGACATATATAGGAGCGAGATCTGTTTTACTTTTGTGGACTTCTTTTGTATATAATTGATTCACAATCCTCAAGAATGTATAGAGGAAAATTGTATCCATCCCTGATACGTCAAAAAAATAATACATAAATTCGTGTTTTTGCCAGAAACACCATCAATAACTCTCCATGGACTTCTCTTTTAATTTGTTCACATCATTGTTAGTAGGTGTACCAACTATGATTGTTAGAGTAGCACTTAAATAAATATCTATATGAATTCTCCAATCCTGGAATGTGTCTGTACCAAGAAAAAATAGCTGAATGGTCAAAACTATTGACTTTGACGCAAAAATGTTAAAAGTTTCAAAAGTGATTCATCCTGATAAACGATAAATTTAGACAGTGTTTTGAATTGGCTTATAAGTTGGTCAAATTTTTAGTTATTGACTTCTGAAAGTGTTCAACAAATATTAAAAAAAAAAGAATGACTTAAAATAAATTGAAAAGTGTTTGCCAAAATTAAAATTAAGTTAAAATTTAAAATAGATTTGTCCTACTTTTCATTTTTAAACTTACAAAAAGTTATTTTAACTTTGATTTTTAATTTTTAATTTAAAAGCTATTTTTAAAGTCAATCCAAATTGACTCTTAATTTTGTTGCTAATTACAAATGTTATTTAATTACCTCACTATTTTTACTGAAATTTGCGAAAAACATTATCGAAGATATGTGAACGAAACACATAAGATAACAATATATAATTATTTTTTATCCGTTCAAATTAACTTATATGTAAATGTACTTGCACTGATATAAAAATTCACATTTCGATTATTTTTTAAGAATGTGTTTGAGTAAGGTATTTTGAATGTATAAAATTAAATTTTAATTAAATTTAAATATCATAGCACAAAAGTTACTAAATAAAAGTTATTTCTAAGTAGAAGATTATACTATTACGAAATATATGAGGATTACAAAAATAATATATTCTAGAAGAGTCTTTTGAAAATATGGAATATCTTATTACTTTATTGAAATGGGTGATTTTTTCCATAGGCTCAAATCCAAATTGGATGAAAATATTATCCTAAAAAAATTATTAGCTTACCGAATATCAATTTAATGAGATTTTATTGTACCATTATTTCTATATTTGTCTTATCAAGGGTTAACAATATTTGAATTAGTTACATTGCTGCATGTGACTCGATTATTATATCATTAAAATGTTTTGACAAAATGAATGAATTTCAAGTTAAATATTGGATTAACATATCTAACTGCTAGTCAATTCAAACTAATCCCAAAATGAAATAGATTTCTTTAAAAGAAATGGGGAAAAAAGGAAATTGAATTAGTATATTCTCGAAAGAGAAATGAGGAAAAAAAGGAAATTGATTGAAATTATTTCGATAAATTTCCCAAAGAGAAACGGTAAAAGTGGACAATCCTGCACCTGCAAATTATTTGCTCATTTCAGGAAGCACAAACTTCTTGCACCATAACAATTTTTCGCGAGGTTTCAGATGTGAAATTAGATCTTAGGTCTAACACACATTCTAAAAGTTAGCTTAAAGAGAGGAGGATTAATCAAGTTTTATAAAGAGATCATATATCTTATTAACCATCAATGTGAAACTCTTTTTCATTCTTCAATGCCCCACCTTAGGCCCTGGGCTGGACATTTGGAGCCCAACATTGGTGAAAACGTGTAGTCTTAAAAGATTTAGTGAGTTATAAGAAGAGAGTGTGAGTTCGCATTTCTATATTTCATGTATTGAACGATGTGTTGTATATGTGTACATAACTCAAACAATAGCTAGATCTAAGATTCTCAGAGTTTCATTGAATCCCATTAATATGTGCGGTTTTTTTCAATATAAAGATTGAAATATCTGAGGATTATTAAAACAGTTATCTAACTTCTTATCTTATAAATTTCCTCAACCTGCCCACTAATGTAAATATCAAAATTCAATGGATTTTTTAAAATATTTATTTTTAATCCTTTTTAGGAGCTCCCATTATTTTTATTTTCTTAATTATTCAAATTTATAAACTTATCATTGAAAGTGAAGAATGTTTACTGACTGAATAACTTCTTCTTGTATCAAAATTCACTTGATTACAACTACTCTACACATATTTTCTGTTAGTTATTTTCACTGTTCATCAAGTATTTCGAGCAACTCAATAAAAAAAATTTATTCTCGATTTGATCATCTATTCAATTATTTTCCTAATACCATTATTTCTACATTTGCCTTATCAAGCGTTAACAACATTTGAATTATAACTTTGCATGTGACTTGATTATTATATAATTGGGTTAAGACACAAGTATTTCAGACTAGGATCGAAATTTCAGAGACACATCGAAATTTAATTAAGATTCTATTACTTCCAATTCATTTTTTTCATATTTTTGTGGCACCTTCTGTACTAATGTGACACCTTCAACCACCCATGCTAGTTGTGTTTGTACACATTCGCATGCCATGTGTGTAAATATTTTTTTACTTACAAATTATTTTTTTAAAAAAAATAATTTTTAAAAAGAAAATCTTAATTATTTTTATCTTGTATTTAAACTAAGTTAATACACATTTTTTTTTACCTTAAATTGAAACTATTGTTTTTACTTGCATTCATTATTTTTCTCTTTTATTCTTCTATTGAGTTTATTTTCTTCATCTTTCGTTTTGATTTGATTTCAAATGTCTTGTATTTAAAATAAGTTAATTTTGAACGGATATCAAATAAGTGAAGAAAATCATAAAACATTAAAATATTAAAACATTAAAATTAAAAGGAAACTATAAAAATTATTTTTTACAAAATACAGATAATTTATTAAAAATAATTAAAAGTGAAAAGATAATTAATTAGTTGAAAATTACGGTGAAAAGAAATTTTAAAAAATATTTTACAAAGAAAGAAATAAATTAATTATATATATATATATATATATATATATAAGTTTTGTTATTAATAAATATTTGTACTAACTAATTATGAAGATACCAATAAAAAAATGACATGTGTCCAATTTGTGTCCACATCACTTGTCTTTCAAGAGAGTGTACACACTTTTGATTACATTTCAGTTTGTGTGGTATTTATTTCATTTTGAATATATTTAGAGAGCAATAGAATTCTAGTCAAATTTACGTATGGGATAGTTAAGCATTATCCCTATATAATTTTTAAGTGGTCAACAAATAAATAAATTTTGATTAAAACATTCCATAGTTATTCATGAAAATAAATCTAATTTCAAGTCAATTCAAACTAGTAAAAAAAAAAAGGAAACTGATTTACTAGATTTCTCAAGCAGAAATGGAAAAAAAGGAAATTGATTTTAGTAGTATATTTCCGAAAGAGAGAGGGGAAAAAAGGAATTCTATTGAAATCATTCAATAGATTTACCAAAAGAGAAATAGTGAGAGTGTATATAAATGTCCGCTCTTGACATTACCATTCAACTTAGTTAGTAAAATAAATATTTTCCCTTGGTTATTCTCAAGTGCGCAGGTCTAAAAAGTGATAGTTCAAATTCAGCCTCTGCAAGTCCCAGGTGTGATGGCCGGAGACAGATTGATGCCGATTTTTCCCTGCGGAACAGCGGCGGAGTCACCGTACGCAGCAGCAAAAACGTCGGTGTGGTGGGATATAGAAAATTGTCAGGTACCTAGGGGATGTGATGCCCATGTAATCGCTCAGAATATAAACGCGGCATTGAAGAAAATGAACTATCATGGACAAGTCACCATTTACGCCTATGGTGACACCAACGGCATTCCTTTGTCCATTCAAAGAGCCCTTTCTACTACAGGAATCCGTCTCAATCACGTCCCAGCCGGTATATATAGGAACAATCAGTCTTTTAAATTGAGTGGTATATGTAGGACTAATATAACTTAATTTTGTTTGATGAATTACAGTGACTAAGGATGCGAGTGATAAGATGATATTGGCGGATATGCTATTATGGGCTGTGGACAATCCTGCACCTGCCAATTATTTGCTCATTTCAGGAGATGGAGATTTCTCCAATGCCATTCATCAGTTGCGGATGAGGAAATATAATATTCTTCTAGCACAACCTGTGTATGCTTCTCCTGCACTTGCTGCTGCTGCCACAAATGTATGGCAACGGACAACCCTCGCTGCTGGAAGATCTCCACCAGAATTTGCTTTTAGTACCAAAACATTACGTCCAATTTCTAAACCTATATCAGCGAACCAACCTGATTTTTCCGATGCCCATGCCAATACCAATACCAATGCTACTGCTTCCGCGACCCAAAGTTTATCCAATCCAAAAACTAAAGCTATTGACATACCTAAGAACTTGGATCAACTGACTATGACCAGCATGTCAGGTACGCCAACTAAAGTTGAAGAAACTAGTAGCAGCTATAGCCCACACGCACCATCTGTTGCACCAGTGCTGTTTGTACCACATCTCTTTTTCACAAAGTCTGATGATTCTGAGAACCTCAACAGTTAATTCATAGAATATGAATCTGCTCAGCGTACTCAATCCCAACCTCCTCTTGTTCCCCACTTGATCAACGACTTGAAGGGTTGGATCAAAACTCACTTTCTGTGGCAATCAATTAGTATATATCACTCTTCCAGAAATTAATAAGGATAAGGATACCAAAACAGGTACCTTGTTGAGAGATCTCGTTTAGTATTTTATATGGATCAGATATCTTGGAGTTACGGCTTTTAAAAGAAGCTTAAGATTATGTAAGACAGTAGTACATTCTGTGCCAACTTGATGACGGCATATATAGGAGTGAGATCTTCAAGAATGTTTGGGGGAACTTGTATCTATCCCTGCAACGTCAAAAAAAAATAATATATAATTCGTCTTTTGGCCAGAACATGATCAACTCTCCATGGACTTCTCTGTTAATTTGCTCACATTATTGTTAATTAGTATGTGCACCAACTAATGTTTAAGTAACTGTCAGATATATATATCTATATGTGAATTGTGCCACGCTGAAATGTGTCATACCATGAAAAAATAGATGAAGGGTGAAAAGTATTGGATTAGACGCAAAACTCTCGAGTTCTGTGTTTTTGTGTTTTTAAAAGTTGTATCTTCAGTTTGAAAATCGAGACAAAATATTTAAAAAGAAACAAATTGTTTCATAATGGATTTGAAAGTTAATAAGTGAATTATTCATATACCACGTTTGGCAATGTTTTAACTACTATGTATAGAACTCATCACAAGAAGTACAGTTTTTGGTTAGAATTACCAACTTCAATTCCACACAATTAATGAAGTCTCATCCAGGTGCTTTCGTTCTGTTTCTTGGGGTTACTTATGATTACATATTTCAACTTGCAGCTTTATTTTTTTCAGTTCTCCCCAAAAGGAAGAAGGGATAAGACAGGAGCTAATCAACAGTTATTAACATAATTGAGCTTGAATGGTTGCTTAATTATGCATCTAGATCTCCACGAGAACTTGCTTTTGCTACTAACACATTATTGTCAAACATCTATACTTACTCCAATTTCTGCAACGTATATCAGCGAACCTACCTGCTTTTTCCAATGCCCATGCAAATACCAATATCAACACTCGTGCTTCCGGGACCAAAGCTTATCTAATCCTGGATGCTATTTTGATACTAAAACTGAAGCTATTTACGTACCTAACAACTCAAATCAACTGAAATATGACTGGCATTAAAGAAACTAGTAACACCTATTGCCCACACTCACCAATTTAGTTTACATCACATGATTTTTCGCAAAAGTCTGATAGTTCAGACAACCACAACAGTAAATTCATTGAACGCAAGCCTACTCGGTGTAGAGATAACTTCGTGAAATTGGACTCTCACCACAACAATATGCAACCTCCGCTTCAAGCTGATTTTTCTACGCATCATCCTCCTGAGCAGCTCAAGCATATTAATTAGTGGCCTAGATCAAAAATTAAACGGAGCATTAAACTTGAATTGTTAATTACTTTTATATAATTGATTTCTTCTAGTTTTCAATTGATAATGTAATCATTCTTATTTTAAATTATTTTTCATAAGGTATAATACGTCAAATATGTCAAATTTTTCTAATAATTCTTCATTTTCATGAAAAGTTATTTTTTCTACAAATAGTATTCATTATTTGTTAAAAAAATTATTTATTATTATTAAAGATGAGGCCCCTTAAATTTGGGGGCCTAAGACACATGTCTTTTTTTAACACCATTGAGCCACCCCTGAATTCATCCTAATGCTGGCACGGGTAATTTATCTATAGCCCCATTAACTTGTATTACGCACCTAATGTTAAATTCACATAATAGTTGTGGTTTGCAACAAATTCAAAACATATGGAAAGTAAATCAATCGCACAAATAAAATCTGAATAAATATGAATATTTTATTAATAATAGTTCTTTTAAGATTTATCTGTTAGTAGCTTATTTCTTGAACTAGGATAATTTAGATTTAACGTCTATATAATTATTCTATCAATTTCCGAAATATTCGCACTGTCTTTTAGGGGAATTTAGTACACTTTATATAAGCATAAATATTTAGAATTGAATAAGCTCCGAGAATTCTAATTAAAATGAACACACTTTCTAGAGTCTCAATTTCAATTGACCCACAAAATTTCAATTTGTGCACTTGAGCAAAACTAGATATTAAAGTTAGTACAAGTTGATTTTGAGCTTATTATGTTGGTAGATCTAAGAGGATTTGGAATTGTGAAAATCCATTTTGGTAACAATCCTAACCAGTGTTTTCAAAAATGTTTTGGGATGAGTCTCGGGACGGGACATATAAAAAACGCTCTGGGGCGTAAGTTAAAACGTATGTTCATAAGGCGTAAATTCTAAAATTTAAAGCGTAAGCCCTGAACATAAAAACGTAAGTCCTGGGAATAAAGACGTACGCCCGACCTTTTTCAATTTTTTTTGTTTTAAATCATATTTTTACTATTGTTGTAATGATATTTCTCAAATCATAAGTATAATACTTTATTCTTTATTATTGATTATTAATACTTATCTCAAATAAAAATCATAAATTATTGAAAGTTTTACTTTTGCTATTTTCTTAATAATAAAACTATAAAATTAAATATACATGAGAATCATAAATCATTGAAAGTTTTACTTTTGTTTTTTATTAGTAATAAAATTATAAAATTAAATATACATGAGACTACGCCCTGTAAATTAATGGGACTTCTCTCCTCGCACTGTGTAAAACGTCTTGCCTCACTTCACACCTTATGTTTAAAACACTGATTCTAACTAGTATTAGGATTAGAGGTGGCTTACTTTCCTATCTCGAAATTCACTTGATTACACATGACTCTACACAAGTTTTTCTATAAATTTTCATTGTTCATTAAGTCTTCCGAGCAACTCAATAAGATTTCTTTGTTAACAAATACTTCAATTTGATTATCTGTTTGGTCATTTTCTTGATCCATTATTTTTACGTCCATCTTATACGGGATTAACAATATTTGAATTATTTAAATTGCATGTGACATAATTTAAAAACAAATTCTAAGCTAAATATTCAACAATTAATTGTGAAAACATAAATTTAATTGCAAGTTAGTTCAAACTTATCCTAAGGAGGACAAAGAAAAAGAAACAAATTTAATAGATTTTCCCGTAGAGAAATGGTGAAAAATGGAAATAGATTTAATAGAATTTTCCAAAGAGAAATTAAATAAGAAAGAAAATTAATAGTGCTTTGTTTTTGTAAAGTGTTTCAATAAGTTAAAAAGCGCGGAGTCCGAGAAAGTTCAAATTGTGCAAGTGCCAAGTGCCAAGTGATATACTGAAAAGTTTTTTGTTGTTACAAATCAGGTTAATGGCAGCAGAGTGAGAGAGAACCCTCGCGGCGTTATAGTCGATGGCCGGAGACAAATTGAAGGCGGGTCTTCCTGGCGGAAAAGCGGCGGAACCGCAGTACCAGGCGGCGAAAACATCGGTGTGGTGGGATATAGAGAATTGTCAGGTGCCCAGGGGATGCGACGCTCATGCAATTGCTCAGAATATAAACGCTGCATTGATGAAGATGAACTATAATGGACCAGTCGCTATTTCCGCCTATGGAGACACAAATCGTATTCCCTCGTACATTCAACGAGCCCTTTCTAGTACTGGAATCAGTCTCAATCACGTCCCGGCCGGTACACTAGCAAACCTTCTTCTATTTCCTTTTAACGTTTTAATCTTGTTTTTCATTGTTCAAAATAATTTTCTCAGAGTATAGAGAGGATTTTCAAAGGTTTCTCCCCCCTCCTCTAAGAAATTTAATGGCTGGCCCTAACAGCTTAATCTTGTTTTTCTTTGAAACCTTTGTTGAAAGTGATTTTCTTGAGCAATGGGGGTTTATTAGAAATTTAGTAGCTAGCCTAACAGCTTAATCTTGCTTGGGATTGGTAATTGGTAATTGTTGATGACATTTTCATTATTCGAATTTGAAACAGTTCATCCCATAAGAGTTCTTGGTTTCCAAAATAAATGAATATCAACTTCTAATTCCTTCTTCATATAGTTTTTATGTTTTAGGTTTTGGAAGATATAATATTCATGAACCTATTAATAACTCTTACTTAATGGAAACTTTTATCTTTTACTAATTAAATTCATGCATTTAATTTGTTTGATTTACAGGGGCTAAGGATGCTAGTGATAAGAAAATATTGGTGGATATGCTATTTTGGGCAGTGGACAATCCTGCACCTGCCAATTATTTGCTCATTTCAGGAGACAGGGATTTCTCCAATGCCATTCATCAGTTACGGATGAGGAGATATAATATTCTTCTAGCACAGCCTTTTAAGGCTTCTCCTGCTCTTGCTGCTGCTGCCACAAATGTGTGGCAATGGATAAGCCTTGCTGCTGGAGAATCTCCACGAGAACTTACTTTTGGTACTAACACATTACATCAAGAATCTATACCGACTCCAGTTTATGAACCTATATCAGCAAACCAACCTGCATATTCTAATGCCAATACCAATATCAATACCAACGCCAATAATGCCAATGCCAACTCCAACTCCAACGCCAAAGCCAAATCCAAAGCCAATGCCAATGCCAATGCCAACGCCAATATCAATACCAATATCAATACCAGTGCCAACGCCAATATCAATACCAATAGCAATGCCAATGCCAATGCCAATGCCAATACCAATACCACAACCAATGCTAATGCTAATACTAAAACTAAAGTTATTTACGTACCAAAGAACTCAAATCAACTGACTATGACCGGTAGGTCAAGTATGCCAGCTAGAATTGAAGAAACTAGTAGCAGCTATCGCCCACACGCACCAGCTGTTGCACCAGTGCAGTTTGCACCACATATATTTTTCGCAAAGTCTGATAGTTCAGAGAACCATAACAGTAAATTCATAGAAAACAAGCCTGCTCAGCGTACTCAATCTCAGCCTCCTCTTGTTCGAGATAACTTTGTGAAGAAATTCAACTTCCGCCAGAAGAATTTGCAACCTTCGCTTCAACGACCTGAAGGTTCTGCTGATTTTTCTACACTATTTGTACATCATCCTAATCCTGGCATGCATAATTTGTCTGATAGACCCATAAACTTGTATTACACTCCTAATTTGGATTGACAAAATTGGGAAGTATTGTGACCGAAGCTGAAGTTCACTAAGTCATATAATTTTCTTGTGACACTAATGGTGGTAGTTGTATTGCAGGTAGGGGTGATTTATGTGGTTCTATGAACAAGGGTGATGTATGTCCTGAGTTTTCCTTCCTTCCATCCTCATCGGGTGCTTCTAAATCTGTCTCTGGTAATTCAAATTTGGAACTCCAGCTGCCTGAACTCATTCAAGGTCTTATAGGGGTCATCCTTCTTTCGTTGGACAGTTTGAAGCTCGAGAAGATTGTGCCTACCAAAGAAAACATCGGTTATTGTCTACGTTATGGTAACCCTAAATATCGTCATATTGATGTCACAGTAGCATTAAATGCTGCACTAGAGCAACAGATGATAGTAAAGTTAAAACAAGCTGATATTGAACTATATGTTGGTAGAAATGAGAGGATTTGGAAATGTGAGAATCCACTTGGTGGCAATCCTAACCAATATCACAATGCAACTTGGAACGTGATTGAGAAATTTCTTTGTTCAACTGTTGGACGTTCAGCAATAGCAGCATCTGAATGCAGGTAAACAATTTGTGCTGCATGTTTTTTAATTATATTCTGTTTTTTTTCCTCATGTTCTGTCTGCCTTCCAGGTATGAAGCTGCTTTGATTCTTAGAAATGCATGCCTTAAAGACCTTACATTGGGTGAAGTACTTCAAATCCTGAATATGATTATCACTCTGAAGCGTTGGATTAAAACTCGCTCTGATTGGCATCAGATTACTATTACTCTTCCAGAAACTAATAATGACAATGATACCAGAACATGCATCTAGCCGACAGATCTCTTTTGGTATTTTAGCATGTCATAGCCGTGACATGTTTTCAGAAATGGATTTGATATCTTGGGAGTTACAGATTTTAAAAGAAGCTCAATTTTGTATAAGATGGTATGTTCAGTGCTTACTTGATGACGGCATAGGAGCGAGATCTTTTTTACTTTTGTGGACCTCTTTCCAAGACACTTGCAGCTGATATAAGTGTGCAGCTAAAGGGATGTGATTGTTATCATGCTTCTATCAACCTTGCTATGCTGATGGATCTCGTAATCTTACATTTACAGCAGCATCGTTTCTGCTATCTTCACTTTCTTTATCTTAAAATTTCCTTTTCGCTGGAAATTTTGTTTGCATCAGCAAGTCTACTACTGCTTTCACATTACTTGGATTTGGGGCATCCAGGAATATGCAGATTGTATTTTGGTTACCTTGGTGAGTTGAGAACTGGCCAGAAGCACAAAGGTTTTGGGTTGCAGGTTGACAGGAATATTTTGTAGTCACTGTTCTTCTAGCCAGAATATAAATAATGAAAAGTGGTTTAGAACAGATCCAGTAACCTTGTTTTTTAAGCTTTATCAAATGGAATATGTAGATTTACTTCACCAGCGTTTTTGATAACGTTGTCCTTTTGCCTATTCTTTTTGTTTCTTGGAACTTATGACTGTAAATCACTTCTGCAGATAAGATTATATGTAGCTTTAATTGGCAGGCACTTGCATTTGTTTTCATATCATGCCCTCCTCTTTCTCTATTTCTGTCTCATTTTTTTACTTGTTAGTAGTTTGTTGGGGGTGATCATGTCTGTTGGATGATATCTGTTTTCAGCTATCATCCTGCATAAACTACTGGGTTAAGATGTTTCTGTAAGTTATTTGTACTAAACTTATTTGAGGACTATTTTCGTTAATGTTATTCACCCGTGTAATATATGTAACACCGTATGCCCTCTCATGCATTTCACATGGCAAAAGAAAATTTACAATTTATGATGAAGACATGCGTTCTAACTTCTAGGAGTCGTCCTTGATCAAAAAGACCAAATGAATTAGTATTTCTTGTGTACATACATACAATGGACAAGGATGAAGCCTATGTTAACAACATCGAGGCCAGCAAGAGAAACAAGAAAACCAACTAGTCGCTCCCAGTTTTGGCAGTGACTCTGCTTGTTTTGACTCTGATTTCGTGTATGACTCTGATTGTTGCGGTGATTGTGGCTGCATTTGTGGTTCTGAATCTGGTTCATACTTGGGTTGTGGTTGTGGTTGTGGCTGTGGATGTGGATGTGGCTGTGGCTGATGCTGATGCTGAGGCTGAGGTTGAGGTCTCTCCATTTTCGCAGAGGGAGCTTTGAGTGAGCCAGTTTTCCCAGCATCGTTTAGTAGTCTGCAACAAACCAAAAGCGATTATAAACAATCCAAGTGTAATCATGCATGGAACAAACTAGCAGCACAACAGACTTCACCCGAGAAAAACAAGAAGAAGATAGATACTAACTAAAACTACTAGCTTGTGTTATTTGATATTTTGCTTCTCTCATCGACACTCCATTCACAAAACGAGGAATGTTAACCCTTATACCTTGTAAACGCATGAATGATCAAGCAAGTAAACGCATGGATCATGAAAGAGATTAACTTGTGCATACAACATATCCAGTGTAATCCCACGAGTGGAAAAGCAAACCAGAACAAAAAGAAAGGGAAAACATAGTGCATTGTATATGGTAGTTGTGAAAAGGAGATCTTACAATGGAAAAGCAAAGGAGCTGCTGCTGTTTCCACTCTCATTGGAGAGGCGGGGCGAGGAAGCATAACTTGCCTCAAACTGAGAAACTGCTTTACCATCTGACTTGTTGAGCGTTGAGGCAGAATGTAGTAATTCATCTGACTTGTTGAGCGCTGAGGGAGAATGTTGAACTTCATCGACATTAGATGTCTTGTTTACTTTGATGTTATTTTCATGATTCTCCGATTCAATGATCTTTTCTTGCATACGAGGACTCTCCATTTTAGTTTCACTCTTTACCTCTTTATCTTTAGCCATTTCGACAAGAGGAGGAAGGTTAGGAGGCAAGTTTTTCTTGTCATTGGATTTAACATCAGGTGCATTATTATACGGAGAATTACTCCATTCCTCTGGTTTTAAAAGTTCTCCAGATCGATACATCATGTTGAATTGATCTCTTGAGAAGCTGTTGTTTCCCATATGAATACTAAACAATGATTCATTTGAAGCAGTACTCCATTCCATACCACTGCTATTAGGCTTGCTTGAAAATATAGACGAGGGAATCCGATTAGGATCATAACCTGGAGGATGACCCATGTTATTATTATGCGTTGGAGGTGACTTCATCGGTCCAGGGTTGGCTACATTCCATTCAGGATTCTGAGGGAAAAAATCAGGAAATTGTGGAGGTTCTTCACCACGCGGAGATGCACTTATCATACTCCATTGTGGTGTCTGATTAGGAACATGATCAGGAGAAGATAAAGAAGCATCCGCGTCTCCAAGAGGATCCTTTCGACTGTTACTTAGCTCTAGTGATGACGACTCAGATGAAGTAGGAGACGAAAGAGGTGATGAAGAAGGAGATAAACCGGATGTTTTCACTTTCATAAGTGGCTTGGTATCGTCATGTTTCTTCTCAGGTTGCTGCATTGAAGGCTTATTATCACCACTACTCCAGTTCTCCATTTCCATTTTGATTTTCTTCTTCAATCAACACAAATTTTCCGCGCTTAATGTTGTTCGAGTAAATAATTCTCCTGCAGAACAAGAACAAATCAACAAAATGCATAATAAAACCACAATCGCCTTGATATTAAAACAGAAACTTTGAATCATCATCAAAAAAGAGTCAATTTTCACATTCGGCGAAAAAAATGACAAAAAGCTTACACATTTTTATATTATCATACCAAACACAATTATATAGCATCGATTCATGACCAATTTAATCGTCCTTGTTATTCGGACTCGTTAAACAATCCTCTTTAACAAGCTAGTTGAAGTCGATTATATGATTTCGGGTATACATTCTGCTCTAATTGAACCTGTTTTATTCCAATAACCCAAAAAGGAAAAAAAAGAAAAGGCTTCAGTTCATTTTAGAGATTCCGGTTTAATCAGAATTTCGCGTTTTAATTAGAAAGAACAAAACAGAAGATTATGAATTAAACACAATTGAATTTACCTAAATTTAATCGAATTCCACCGATCATAAAAGCCAAATCTTGATTACTAGCTGTATCTTGTTTTTGCTAATGATAATCCAAAGATGTTTAAAAAATTAATAATAATAATAATAATAAGATACAGCTACTTACCCCTCAAGATTATGGGGGTAAGAGAGAGAATAATTCCACGAATTCAATTTTTTTTAATTTACTTGAGAGGATGATTAAGTTGAATAGGAAAATTCAAAATGAGAAAAGATTTAGGGCTCAGAAAAAAAGTATTAAAAAACAAAGGGAAAAAAAATGTAAAAGAATAGCGGTTTAAGGGTTTTATTTTAGGTAAATCATTGCCACAGAAAGGAAGGCTAAGCGGCGATATCGGTGATGTCTAATCAGTTTTCCCGTTAAACCAACCATTGGCGCCATTTCTATCTACTCCAAAGATATTCCCCCAATTGGGCCGGGTATGAATAATTGGGCCAATTGCTCATGTATAACCCAAATTTTCCTAGGCCCTATTGGTCATAAAAAAGGGAAAATTATATATAATAGCAAACTAATAACCTAAAATAAATGAAATAGCTAGGGTTTGATTTAAAAGTGCTCCATAGCAAACATTAGCTAAAATTTGTCAGCGTCTCGCTCCCAAAAATCTCGCTCGCCACTCTCCATTCTCGCTCGCCTCTCTCGCTTTATACACAGAAGTGTATAATACTGTTTCTGTTTTGTATAAAGCGAGAGAAAATTGTATATACACATGCAAAAATGTATATCTTTGTATTATACACTTAATTATACAATTTACAAACATTTTACTTCAAATATTGCAGAGAAAAAGGTCAACGAATTATACAATTGTGAATTATACAATTGCAGTGAAATACAATTTTCTCTAGCTTTATACAACAGAAGTGTATATATTGTGTTTCTGTTTTTGTATAAAGCGAGAAAAACATATATCTTCTTGCTATACACTTATAATTATGCAATATACATACATTTTAATTCGATTCAACTGTATGCAAAGCAAGTTATACAATTGCAGCGAAATAGACCAGCGAATTATACAATTTAGGCCAGCGAATTATACAATTGTTTATGTATAGCGAATTATGCAGTTTTATGTTTGCTATGGAGCACAATTATGAAACTTTGCTACAGCATACAAATATGAATTTTTTGTTTGCTATATGTGAAAGCTGTCCCATATAAAATTAAGTAACTTTCACATATAGCAAACATAAAAATCATATTTGTATGCTATAGTTATACTTTGTATAATTGCACTCTATAGCAAACATAAATATAATGTACAAAAAACAAGTTGTATAATTCGCTATACATATACAAAGAAACCAGTTGTATAATTCGCTATACATATACAAAAGAAAGCAGTTGTATACAAAAGATCAATTGTATAATTTGTATGTGTATAAAATGAGAAAGAGAGAAAGATAAAAGAAAATTGGGTAGGGAAATATTTGTATTGTATAATTATAAGTGTATATGACGAAGATATATGTATTTCCATGTTTATATACAATTTTCTCTCGCTTAATACAAACAGAAATGCAATTTATATATTTCGTTTCTGTTTGTACAAGTGAGAGAGACGAGGATGGCGAGCGAGATTTGGGAGAGGGAGAAAAGAGAACGAAAATATTTGTATATATATAATGTTCTCTCGATTTATACAAACACAAAAACATTTTATACATTTCTGTTTGTATAAAAGCGAGAGAGGCAAGCGATAGAGGGAGAGTGGTGAGCGAGAGTCTGAGGGAGAGAAACGACTGACAAACAGTTTGCTACAGGGCATAACTAAATCAAAGTATTGTTATAATATTTAATTTGAATTATTAATTTGTCATTATACACAATTTTCCCTATGAAATTGTCTTTTGTCCTTCAAATAAGTTGGTCTCTAATTTTTCTCCTTAAGAATTGTATTGTATAAATTTTTTAGATTTTGCGCGGACATAAACTTAACAGATTTTATGATATGAAAATATAAATTTAGGCCGAGTGAAAGAAGTTATGACAATCTTTAAGATGTGACATATTATGTGTAATATACATTTGTGACTACAACAATAAAATTTAGTCTGTTTAAGTTTTATAAGTATGTTTTTGTCATAAGTCTATTGGTTATTTGTCATAAGTTTCTTATTATAAGTATGTTTTTCTTTTTTTAAAAGAATAGAAAATTCTCATAATTGGTTTATCCGTGATAGGAAAATGTTTAGAACTTTATAATAGAGATTCATTTCTTCAAACATAGTAATTTCACAATGTAGATTTGGGGGTTTGAGAGTCTTGGTTAGGGGAAGAATTTATTTTGTTATCACTTTTGTGTATTTCGAGTAAATTAGTATGTTTTGTAATCACATCTTCTCTGTGTACTCAGTAAGGTACGCCACCCGCCCTAATTCTAATGATAGATAGAAAGGGTGGGAGAGGGGATGAGGTACAGTCAAGGTACAAAAACAAAAATTACGTGACATACATACGTTAAACGGTAGGCCCATTACGAACAATCATTAAGGTGGTCTCCAATCTCGCTTGTACACTGATTAATCGAACCAGATTAAATTTTTATGTCTTTTCATGTATTTTTCTCGTATGTCTTTCTTCCTCGTATTTTTTCGTGATTTGCTTTGATTACTTTCACATTCCACCTAATTATTTCGATCCTAAGAGAGTGGTTGTTTTCTCCAATAAACTTTGTGATTGCAGAATGATTTATAAAAGTGAAATCTACATGAAAACAAGTTCTACATGATCCCTACAAGACTTGGTAGGTCAAGTCTGGTGAACGATATAGAAATAACAATACTGTTACCCCTTTTCTACATGAATGAATGTAAAAATAAGCATAAACCCCCAATAATAGTAGTCACAATAAATCAACAATTCAAAGTGACTCCTGAAGCTGTAAACCTTGTCGATTTTTGGAGGGTGGCAACAATGTGCTCGACTTTCTACTTCTACCAATCAAAAGCCTCTTCGAAACTGGAGACATCATTTGATCAGTTGGACTTGTGTACCTGTACAAAAAAAACAATTTCTTTTTTACTCATTTTGAATTTATAACTCTATGAATTGTGCATATATAGTGTTAAAAACAGAGGAGAAAAAAAAAAGTAAATTACTGTACCTCTCAGGATATTTAAATGGTTTGGGGACTTTAAGTCGATCAGGGGTGTTGATTGGAGAATTGGGAAGAACAATCATTGGTCGATTCAATGGCGGTGTTTTTGGTTCTTCAGCAACAACAATCTTTTCAGCTAATTCATTCATCGGAGCTTTTGATGCAACTGTTTCCTCATTAATGGCAGATTTTGGTAATTCCGCAATTCCCTCCATTGATGAAACTATTATTTGTAATAGCAGAGAAGAGATAGACAGAACAATTGAATTAAGAGAAAGTGAGAGTGAATTATTAATTTATATTCAGAAAGACGACCGTTCAGCAAGGGTTTCAACGGTCGAATTTTTGGGGCTGGGTCAAGTGGAGACAAACGCAATTTTGCTTTTTTTTTTTTTTAATTGATTAAAATAAAAAAGAAGGTAATTAGACTACTCTAGAATGTCTTTTTATATCCAACGGGAAAATGTTTGTTTTTAGTAAATAATCAATAAAGTATGCAATAGAAAATATTGAAGTTTAAATCTTATAAAGATTAAAAAAAAATAACATGAGCATGTAATTTCTCAAATTTGTCTGGACTTAATTGTTTAAAGGGAAAAGAGTTTGATATATCCCTCAACTTTGTCATTAAGAGTTGATATATTCTTTGTTATGAAAGTGGCTCATATATATCTCTATTTGTAAATAAATGGCTCACATATACCTTTTTCCTCTAACGGAAATAAAAAAAATTCAATCTAAATTTTTATTTTTTTCTAAAAAATATAATCTTATATAGTAAATTTAATCCTCGTCAAATATATTTTTTTGACTTTTTTTGTTTCAATGACTAATTTATAATTATTATTTTGATGATCAAATTTATTTATGTTTCACTAATATTCTTGTAAAACTTATTGTAGATGACCAATTTTTTTCTTCAAATACGAAATTAAATTACAATACACACAAAAAAATAGTTTAAATTTTTTTTCTTTAAACTAAGGAATGAAAAAGAAAAAACAGAATAAGAATAAGAAACTCAAATAATTATAATAAAAGAAGTCAAAAAATAATTTATGTATGAAAAAAATTAAAATATACCTTAAACTTTGATAGAAGAATCATATATACCCCTAAATAATTTTTTTTAAAAAATAGAAGTAATAAATATAAATTTTAAACTATTTTTTTAACTTCCGTAAAATGAAGGGTATATGTGAGCCATTTTGTAACGGCAGGGGTATATGTGAGTCGTTTGTATAACGGTAAGGGCATATATGAGCAACTTTTATAACGAGAGGTATATCAGCTCGAAATGACAAAGTTAAGGGGTATATTAAACCATTTTTCCTTGTTTAAAATTACTTAATTATATTGATAAGAGGTAACATACATTTTTCTCAATCTATTAAAATGCATTAGTGTGATTTAAACTAACATTATCATTTTTCTCAATCAATTAAAATGCATTAGTGTGATTTAAACTAACATTATAATCGAACCGTTAAATAAATTTATTTGATTTATTAATTATTAGATTTATCAAATTAATGGTGTGGATAAGTTTTTTTTCCGTCAAATAATCAATCCATTCATATTGTATTTGATATATTTTATTAGTAGATTAGTATATTAAAAAAATAAAAGAATAATTTATTAAATTGTTAAGAATAAATATTCAAATAAATCACCCGATAAGCATCTCTACTAGACACCATAGTTATTAAAAAAAGGAAAAATTAATTTACTTGTAGCATTCTTTGTAAGACCAATATTAGAGTTGTGGTCCTTTTTTTCTTTTACTTTGTTGTAATATATTGAATAAAATTTAAAATTAAGTGCGTAACATTTTTATAGTTCAGCATAGTTGAATGATAAGTTAAAGGTAGTGCGCACTTTTAGAGGTGATGTTTATCCTTTAAATAAGTCAATGCACAATGCACATGGCATTATATTGTTTTAAGGCAAGGGAAAACAAACAGAGTTGTTCAATTTCTTGAAAAATAATTACAAGTATTATCATATATTATTAATTTAAGTTTGATAAAAGCAATGTCAAAAAAAATATACTTAAGGATATAATCTAGATATCAATTAAGTGAATCGAAAATTATGAAACTTTCAGTCTTTCACGTTCAAATTTAAGTAAAGATAAAAATACTAGTTCATCCGTTTTAAGAAGAATGGTTT